TATTGAATGGAAGCTAGAAATATGTGGACAAATGTGAGCTAGTGCGAGCTGGCTTCGGCACAACGCTGCAAAGTTACCTTTATACATCTGTGCATCTGCTCAAAGGTGCCTAGAATTGAAAGTCTAATTCAATTCTGTACATACACTGGTACAGGAAAATGCATAGACATTATTGCAAATACATATACTTGTAGACACATTTAGTCACTTAGAAGCATACAAAGACAAGTTCAAGTATATAAATACATTTACATCTACATATAAATGGACACAAGCCAAAACATGCATATAAATGCACACAAGCCACCACACACTCAGGAAGAGGACATAAGCCAACCTAGGGTTACTGGCCTAAGGCTGCACACCTTTCAGAACCACTTTGGCCCAAGACAGAGGAAACTCAAAGGGAACACTGTTTACTGTCAATGATCTATCCTGCTTGTAGACTCTGGGTAGACGCCTGTCCTTTCTGGGTTACTCCTAGCAGTCCTGCAGGTCTGGGAGAGCTCTTCCCTTGCCTTACAGTTACCAGCTCCAGAAGCCTACTCCCCCTTAGTAGCCCCTCATGCCTCTCTCTTTCATTGTGGGAAAGCCAACTCCAGCCTCTGGCTCTGCTCTCTTGCCAGAGCAACAGAGTGAGAGGTCAACACGACCTCACTTGGCTCAGTCCAGAGACTTCTGCTCTTCCCTGCCCCCGCCCCCTTTTTTCAATCCTCACCAGAGGCTATTTTTCTATTTATCATCAGATAGAGTGGGAGGGAGGGAGAGAGAGAGAAACATCATCGTGAGAGAGACACATTGACTGGTTGCCTTCTGCACAACCCCAACCAGGGCCGGGGACCAATTGCAACCAAGGTACATGCACTTGACCAGAATCGAACCCACAACTCATTGGTCTGAGGGCTGACACCCCAACCGCTGAGCCAAACCGGCCAGGGCCTTCCCTGTCCCTTATTACTTCTTTGTTTATTTCTTGCCTGGGCCATTGCCCCAGCCTTCTAACTGTCTTCCAGTTCCAGGCTCTTCCCTCCCATTCATCTTGCTATAACCTGCCATATAAATTACCCTAAAGCACAGCACTGAGGCCATATAGGTAATGGCAACTTCCCCATGCAGGACAGATTGGGGCTAGAGCCCTTTGAAGCCCCCTAACCACTTGTCCAGCTCCTGCTTCCCCAAGGTTAATTTTTACTCCTATTTTCTTCAAATGTCTTTCTCTCCCCGGTTTGGTCTGCAGATTGTCTCTGCCACAGAATCTGCTAGCTGTTTCTTTTTTGTTCACAGTAGGGCATTTACCACCTCTTATGATTGTGGTACAGTGCTTTATAGTTTATAAACACTCTCAAAACTATCTGTGGCCCTCCTATCCTGTGCCCCGCACTGAGGTTAGCTCTGAAAATACAGTGGTGAATAAAAACAGATGTGGTTGTGCTTTTAGGAACCAAGTCAACATAATCTGTTGAAATCCTCTGCCCCAATTATAAGTGGATTTGGAAGGGAAGTATTTTCCCACTGTCCCTCCTACCTGCTTCCCTATCCACATGGAAATATGTCCTCCTTGGAGTCATGGGGACAAAGTAGAGAAGACAAGAGAACAAGACTTTGGCTTCCAGATTTTAAGAGGACTTTACTAACCTCGTGTGCATCACAGGAGCAGCTGCTGGGATGTTGCAAGCCCACTTGCATAGAGGGCAGTAAACTCTTACAAAGCTATATAGAGGTTAGCACTTATCTGCATTGCAACATCTTTATTTCCTTCCCTTATCCGTAAGAAGCAACAACTATTATTTATGTGAGCCTTGGCTAGTTTGATTTCTGAGCCTTAGTTCCCTTACTTGTAATATGTGGTTACAAATCTCTGATATTCTCATAGTGTTGTTAGAATAATCGAATGAGTGCCTGTTTATGAAATAAATACTGGCATAGGATTGATTTAAAGAAGAAGTGGCATTGAATAAAATATTAATAATACTATGTTACACATTAAAGGTCTTTTATATACTTTTATTCAGTGACTCTGAAATATTCTGGTCTGCAAGGATAGAAGACAAGACATTGACCTCCACTGTAAGAGAAATGTGTGAGCCACGAACATGTGTCACATATGTCATTGCAAGTTTTCTAGTAGCCTCATTTAAAAAAGATAAAAACAGTCTGGCAAAATTAATTTTAATAATACATCATTTAAACCCACTATCTCCAAAATATTATCATTTCAGTAGGTAATTCACATAAAATTATTGCAACTATTTTTGCATTGTTTTGGTACCGCATCTTTGAAATCCTGTGTGTATTTTACATGTATAGCACGCTTCAAGTGCTTGATAGTCACATGTGGCTGCTGTGTTGGACAGCACACACTAATCAATAATGCACATAAAAATTAAAGATCTCTACAGTACTTAACAGTTTCCCAAACTCTTAAGATTTAAATCTCATGTTAGCCTGACTAGGCGGATACTTATCATCTCCATTTTGTTTGTTTGTTTGTTTTGGGGGGGGGGGGACGTTTCCCTAGCGGGAACCGAACCCGGAACTCTCTGGTCTGCAGGCTGACACTCCAGCTGCTGAGCCAAACTGGTCAGCGCTATCATCTCCATTTTGTAGATGAGCAGAAGCAGCAGCAATTATATGTAATTCATCTAAGATCATCAGCTAGTAAATTGGGAACTCAATATTGTCTTCAAATTTGACACTTTCTCTTTTGCCTCTTTTTCTAAACAAGCAATACAAAGGGAAACTTGAATATTATTATACATACAGGTCTCATGACTCATTGCACTAATGCATGAAAAGGCACAGTTCTTTCAAAATCCACCTACAATGTCCTCCCTTCAAATACCACACCCGGTTTAATCTTACTAGAATCTGTTAGCATCATTATTCTAAAATTATGTGTGTGCTGGTTCAAGCACCTTTCAATTCTGACGTGCTATAGGTGTAAATAATATAAATGAGCATAAAAACAACCTACCCCTCTCTCTGATATTCTCTATGGTGTAGTGATTTACCTTTTAATTACTCTTGGGGGTTACATTGTAGTGTTTCAGCATCCCAAATAGAAAGAAATGAGATAAAGATTCCTCTCTTCTAGTTTAAAAAGCACACACATGCCAAATGTTTACACCAAAGCATAACCAGACTCAGATAGCTATCAGGGAAAGAGGCTCCTAGTATAGGATTTCTCTATAACATAGCAGTCACGTAGGGCTATGGGGAGGGGAAAAGAGTAGAGGACAGGCTATCTTGAGAACTGCCCTTGGAAGGACCAGTCCCTAGGCTAATGTTCCCAAAGAGATGCCAAGGGCAGCTGACCACCGCCCTGACCAGTGAAGCTGCCCCTCAGGAGCCCAGGACCACTGGCAGGAGCCCCAGCTTGACTTCCAGACCTGGCTGATTTCCCCCCTTCTCAGGATGGTGGCTGGAGGACAACAAAAGGCTTGTAAAGCCGTATCTGCTAGTTTGTCTGGTAGTCTACATGCCCACAAATGCCCTTCAAATGAACGAAAAAAAAGCCCAGAAGCTTTGCTGGAAATAAATTATAGAAATGTATTCAAGGGTCTTGGGGTTTGCACACTGGGAACACAGCTAGGCAAAATACCAGGAGCATTCCAAAGAAGAAAAGTAAACAATTCTTATAGTAAAAAATATATTATTGAGAATTATCAGTCTTGCACTTTTTTTTTTATCCTCACCTGAGGACATTTTTCCATTTTTTGTACAGATAGAGTGGGAGGAAGAGAGAGAGAGAGAAACATCGACGTGAAAGGGGCACATCGAGTGGCTGCCACCCGCACAACCAACCAGGGCCGGGGACAAACTTCAACCGAAGTACGTGCCCTTAGCGGGAACTGAACCGGGGTCTCTCTGTACCGCAGGCCGACGCTCTAACCGCTGAGCCATACCGGCTAGGGCAGTCTTGCATTCTTAGTCCTAGGATTGGTCCAGGCCATTATCAGACAGATGTCACGCAGTCAGGATGATAAATGCCAGGTGGTCCAGAAGATGGGTGTCAGGAGGTCTGGTCACACCCAGTGGTCTGGATAACGGATGTCAGGTAAATATACATATGGGAGTCCTTCAAGGGGGTAATTAGAGGATTACCTGGAAGTCCAGGTGTATATCCAAGCATTGATGTAGGATTGGAAAATTCAAAAAAGTTTAAGTTCCCAGGGTAGTTAGAATTAATAATAAACTCTTTTCTCAAGCCTCAATCTTCATAATGTTAACGATTTTAGCAGTTTGGTTAAAATGTCTCCATTTTACATATTTCCTATATTCAGTCTGCCCCCCCAAAGAACTAAGCTGGGCAGGAAGTAAATACTAAACGCCTCTTCTCTAGGCCAAGGACAAAGACAGTCTCCAGGGCTTTTCTCCTTCCCCAGCCCGTTTCTAGATACCCCTGGTGATGCATATACACTCAAGTGCAGTGTAAAGTCTGCGTGGGGGCCTGTGGGAGCACGTGTGATTTTTGCCATCGCCAGACAGGTGTTGGGTTGAACATAATAATTTTTTTTGCAGCCCAACAACATTCCTGGCTTAGGTGCGCATCCAACCGACCTCCTACTCTGGGGTTGCGGAGAGGCTGGCGTTGGTCGCATCACTGCGCGTCACCAAAGTCTACGTGGCTCATAAGTCGTGCACATGCGCGAAGCGGGGCTGCCAGCAACTTCCGGGAGCTGAGGGGCGGGTAGCACCGTGAGGTGTCCAGCGGGTCCATCCCAGACACCCCTCTCTAGTTCCTCCGCTTGGGATCCGTAGTCCCTCTCCGGAAGCAGGGGCCAGGAGGGGGAGAGGGGCCTGCAGGGTCGCGAGGAGCCGCTGTTGAGCGCCCTCGTCCATCCCGGGAGACCCGCCCGCGGTGCGCCAACCTGGGGCCAGCCGCGGCTCGCAGCGCCACGCCCCCCGCGCGCGCGCACTCGGAGTTAGCTGGAGCGCGCCGGCGTGACGCGGGGCGGTGCCGAGTGGGCGGGCGGGGGGGAGGGAGTCGTCGGCGGGAGGGAAGCAGACGGCGGGATCAGCGGCAGCGGTAACATCAGCATGGCCGCGCTCTACGGGGGTGTAGAGGGGTGAGTGCGGCCCGGTGGAGGGAGTCCGGGAGGGGCATCCTGGAAGCGGCTTGGGCCTACCCTCGCCCGAGGGCGGGACGGAAGGAAGGCCGTGGGCAGGCTGGTGGCCTCCCGCCTCCTAGTCCGGCCACTTCGGGCTTTTGGGCTGCGGGGCCTTGCGGAGCAGGGTTCTGTGCACGCGCGGCGGTGCCTTTGCGCGCACGGGTGCGTGCCTTGCAGGGGCTCTTCGTGTGCCAGGGCCACACCCCGTGGGGGGTCCTTTGTGTTTTACAGCGGAACCACGCCCCTTTCTCCCAGGAACGGTCTACTCCGTCCCCTGCTGGAGATGCTTCCTTTCCCCATTCCCGACCCCCTTGGAGAGTTTTGCAGAACAGGTGTCAGATGTGAAGTTGCTGGACTTGGGGCAGGTGGGGGGTGGGAATAGTGTGGTGGAAACCCGGACAAAGATCTTTGCCGGAGGGTACCTGGGAGCTGGAGCAGATACGAGCCAGCGTGCTAGCCCGGACTGATCCCTGAAACTCCTTCATTCTTGTCAGCACTCCAGGCTCCTCACCCTAGATAGAGCCCTGCCCTTCTTGCATTTCTTTTTCTGCACAGAAGCTTGTCTACTGGACTTTTTGTAATAGCTCTTCCTCTCGGTATGAATATGGGCAAGATTTTTGCCCAGTGTAGGCGTCATTTACCACATGTGTATAAAGTGAGAAGAGAAATGAAGGAGATAATTGCCAAGTCCCCTGCCCGTGACAACATTCTGTGAATCTGGGTGCGTCAAATCAGAGCATAATAGAGATGGCTGTTTCAGGTAGGGCACTTTTGAATGAGATTGGATTACTTCTATGGCAGCCACATCTCTGCTGACTCATGGACCCCAATGTCTTTTTTTCACATGCATTGTTAAAGTTGATTCCCCCCATCCTGTAACTATTGCCCTTTTTAAAAAAACATGCAGGAGTTTGCATTTATCTCTGTTATTTGTATAAGATCTGACCCATTTTTTTCCAGTTTGTCAAGAGATTCTTTTCAGTGTTGAATCTCATGCATTAACTACCCCTTGAAACTTCTTGTAATTTTTTTAGTTTGGTCAGCAGGTCTTCAGTGTCCTTTTCTGATATTCCTAAAAGTACTGATGAGTAAAGAAACATACATCACACTACCACAGACTTCCCTCCAAACTACCATTTCCCCCAGTAATAAGGATTTGACCATTTAGTTGCTAAAGTGGGTATAAATTCTCCCTGCCATCTGGTCAGTGTTTCTCACAAGGGTGTCTTGAAAACCTTGGTAGCTGGAGTTGGATCTTGAAAGGCAGCCTTGAGCTTTTGCGAGAAGCAGAAAGATATGTCAGTCTCTTTAGTCACATTTACTGAGTGTTGCCTGTGCTAGGCATGAGAATAGATAAATGATCTGAAGCTTGTAGTCTAGTGAGAGGCAGACAGGAAAACAACTAAATATACTCTTAATACAGAGAATCCTTGGAAGTTATGGGGGCACTGACTTGGCTTAACTAATGGAGCAATGTGGGTGAGCCACACATCAGAGGTTTCAAGGACTAGCTGATGTATAAGCAGGGCCTTGCAGGATAAGTAGGATATTTTCAAGGGAAGCTGGGCACGATCTATGTTACAGTCCAAGAGCACAGCAATCACCAGACCACAGAGGTGGGTTTGGGAATGGTGACTGGGTTTACTGAAGCAGTCTATCATACTGGGCTCTGTGACAAGGACTGCACAAGCTTGGCTGTACCTTCAGGTTTTTCTGAGTAAGACTGAGTGCCCCCTTGTGTTCTGCAGGGGAGGAACACGGTCCAAGGTCCTTTTACTCTCAGAGGACGGGCAGATCCTGGCAGAAGCGGATGGACTCAGCACAAACCACTGGGTAAAGTCCACACTGAGGGGACCAGTGGGCTTGGTTGTGGTTTTATTCTCTGTAATTCCTGTTGAGGTGGTGTCTGGGAGCTAATGTAGCAGCCTGTAGGGGAAGCACAGGTCGTGCAGCCCTTTGTAACTCCTCCTTCCCTTGATTGGGGCTAGCTGATCGGCACAGACAAGTGTGTGGAGAGGATCAACGAGATGGTGAACAGGGCCAAACGGAAAGCAGGGGTCGATCCTTTGGTACCTCTGCGAAGCTTGGTGAGTCTGGGGCAGAGCCTGGGATCAGCAACACTGAAAAAGCGAGTTTGAACTAGATGAGTCTGATGACTTTGACTGTAGAGGTAAAGACCTTGGGGGCTTAATCTCTGGTCTAGAAACTCACATGATCTCATCTAGTCTTGTGGCTTCAGTTGTCATCTACAAGTCACAACAACTGGAAGAGCACAGGGCTTTGGGGAGCCACTGAGACCTTGGTTTGTCACTCAACATGTGTGACCCTAAGCAGGTTACTTACCTTCTCTAAGCCTCAGTTTCCTCATTTGGAAAGTGCAGGTAACAGTAGCTACCTCAGAGTTGCTGGGAAAGTAAATGACATGACACATCCCGAAGTGGTTAGCAGAGACCCTGACCCATGAGCACTCATTAAATGTTCACTCTTGTTCCCAGCTCGGCTTTTCTCCCAAGCTGCTGTAGCTCTGGCTACTCCCTGGACGTGTCCTCAGTGAGATGTTCTGCAGGCACAGCCAAACCCCATGCATTCCAGACCCAGCTTGTCTCTCCCCAACTTGCTCCTCTGACTAATTTTTCTGTTAAGGTCACTGCTGTCATCCTAAGCTCCAAACTTGGCATTGTTGAATCCCCTCTCTGTCCATTCCCACTCCAGGTTCTTAGAGACACAGCCTTCTAAGGGGTTATCATGTGGGGTAGAAGGAAGACGGGCTGGATAAACAGGGCCCAGATGTAGAGAGCAGGGGGCAGATAGCAGGAAGGGAGGGGGTTGAGAAAGGAGCTGGGTCTGGGGCCCTGCTCGCTCATTCACCTCCCCCATGGCCTAGGGCCTATCCCTGAGCGGTGGAGAGCAGGAGGATGCGGTGAGGATCCTGATGGAGGAGCTGAGGGACCGATTTCCCTACCTGAGTGAAAGCTACTTAATCACCACTGATGCCGCTGGCTCCATCGCCACAGCTACGCCGGATGGTGAGGAGGTGGAGGGTGGGGTAAGGTTGAGAACTGGTTTTTCGGGAGGGGGGGGGGGTCATCTGCCAGATGTAGCTGGCAGAACTTGTCTTACTGGAAGGCAGCCTCCATCATATCCACCACCCACCTTTTAATTAGCTTAAGCCAGTGCAAGAACTGGAAAGGAGGGAGGGCAAGAGGGTATCTTGAGAAGCAAGGAGTGGAGTCAGACATAAGAATCCATCCCAAAGGAAGGAGGTCCTGAGGCTGGCTGAGGAGCTCTGATAGGAGTGTAAAAAGCATGGGTACCACATGGTTGGCATTTGAATCTCTGTTCCTATTTTGCCAGCTATACCATCTTGGAGAAGTTCCAGAAATCTCAGAGTTTCAATTTTCTCATCTATTAAATGGGGGTAATTGTATTAATAAGGTGGTTTAGGGTATTGAGTATCACTGGGAATAGGGTCTAGCACCATCCCTGGCACATAGTAGGTATTCAGTAAAACAGGTAGTCTCTTGAAGGCTGACTGAGCAAGGAGACACAGGCTCATATTCCTCTCTGTCCCCCAGAGAAGGGCTGTATGTGATTGGAGTTTCTCTGAGAGCCGGCCCCCTCACCTTCAGTAGGAAACTAGGTAGCTCAGTTTTCTCTGCAAGACCAGGTGGTGATTCCTTGGCCCAGGGCTGGTTTTTGTCCTGTCTTTCCTCAGTGTGCTTGCCCTGTGCAGGGCATTAGCCACACTGAGCCTCCTGTGCCCTTTTCCCAGGTGGGATCGTGCTCATCTCTGGGACCGGCTCCAACTGCAGGCTCATCAACCCCGATGGCTCTGAGAGTGGCTGCGGTGGCTGGGGCCACATGATGGGAGATGAGGGCTCAGGTGAGCTCATGCCGATGGCCTGGCTCAGGATCCTGGACTCTTCCTTCCTGCAGCTCTCCATCTTCTTTTCTATCAGCCTGCTGACCCCTCGGGGCTTTCTCGGGACAGCTCCTGAATCTGATGGTCCTGAGTACAGAGTAATGACTGAGAGATCATAGAAATGCAAATGTTGGACAAGTGGCTGGCCTTGCTCTTCAGCAGTAATGTGCACCCAGGATTCAGGATCATGCTACAGCGTAACAGCTATAGACTATCTGTGTAGACTTTTGGAGGAATTGACACTATGAAGGTTAAGGCCATAGAGGCCAGGAGATGCTATAGTAGTCTGCTAATAGGAAAGGGGTATAGAAGCTTCTCCCACTATCTCCTCTTTATCGGCAGCGGGTATACATTTTCATAGGGGCCCTCAGGGTCTAGTTCATGGCAGTGGCCCAGTGATTTGTGTGACAACTGACTGACCTTGTCTTTAGTTTTGGGTAGCAGCTGGTATGACACAGCATCACCAGTTCTGTCTACCCCCCTCCAGCTTTCCTGTGGATCTGTCAGATACAGTTAAGTTAGAGGCCCCCAGGCTGGGATTCGGGACACCTAATTTGCTGTAATTTACAAGCTGATGTTAACCCTCGAGGTCTGAGTTTCCTTTCCTGTGAGTTCTGGGAGACTGCCCCATCTTTTAGCTCTCTCTTCTCTCCACAGCCTACTGGATTGCACACCAAGCAGTGAAAATAGTGTTTGACTCCATCGACAACCTAGAGGCAGCTCCTCATGACATTGGCTACGTCAAACAGGCCATGTTCAACTATTTCCAGGTATTCCCTCTGCCCCTGGTAAACATGTGCACCTGGCCTAGGGCAGTGAGAGACTGAGCAGGAATGAATGCAGGAGAGGGACTGGGTGAGCCAAAGGAAAGTTGGGGTGAGTCGTGGGTCAGAGCTGCAGGAATAGAGAAGTCATAGGTGAGGACAGGATTCAGAAAGACATGGGTGGTGCATTCCAGGAGGATATCAGGCATGAGGGAGGGGTAGGTTGGGGACAGGTGGTTAGCCAGACTTCATTCTTGGGCAGCCAGGCCCTGTTGGGAGGTGAAGGCAGATGACATTTTAAGCTGGAATGAGAAGTGCAGGGTGAGATAAGAAAACAGTGTTCACAGACTGAGACAGTGGGCAGGCTGAACAGATGTGTCAGACAGTGCGCTGTTTCTGTGTGGGTCAGGGAGGAGAACCATTAAGAGGTGGACAGGGGGAGTTCTTAGGAAGCTGTAGCCTCCTACCCAGGGCATCAGGGACTGATTTTACTTCTTGTCTGAGCCGTGCTTATTTGTAAGGGGTTTGGAAATAGCTGTCTTTATCTGAACCAGGGGTAACAGGTGGGAAGAGGAGCAGGAAGAATGATTGTGTGATTCTGAGCGAAAGCCACTTAGGTGAGCTGGGGCTGGGGCCAGAGAAGGAGATTAGAAATGCTGGGAGGTAGGACCTGTATTTTCAAGACTCGGGGTTGATGATTACAGAGAAACTGGCCTGGGCCAAGCTGAGGAATAGGAAGAGAAATCACTTCCTGTAGCACTTGCTATAGGAAGTGGAGTTAAGTTATCCTGACTCAGCAGATATTACATAAACCCCTGTAATATGTCTGCCACTCCCTCTCTTACCCTTTGGTCATTTTTATAAGGTCATTACAAAGAATAAATGAGATAAGTTTGTATAACATGCTTAATACATTTCTGTAGGTGCTCAAGTTTTAGCCCCCCCCTTCCATCTTAGTAATGTATCTGGGGAGTCACTGGTTCCTCGGGGCCTTCAGAAGCGTTACTGGTGTGCTATGTTTGTTGGGGTAGAAGAAGGACCTTCTGTGGTCAATAAGTTTGGGGAAAACAAATAGATTTCTTGGCTTAAGACTCCTCAGAGCCTTTGACTTGCTAATGTACATTGTGAATCTCTAAGGGAGAGTGTTCAATAGTCTTCAGATTCCTTTGACCAAAGAAATCTTTTCATGAGCACCTAAAGGAACTACAAAACATACTTTGGTGAGCAGAGATCTGTGCTCTGTCCAAAATACTGTGTAAGGAGCAATGGAATTCATGTTGGGGAAAACAGAACTTTTCTTAAACGAGAAATTTTAAATCCTTGCACTCCCTAGAGCTTAGAAAAAACAAATATTCCACCTTTTCAAACAGTAGAGCCATGAGGAAAGCCAGCTTGGGTGGCAGACTGGGAATTTTCTTTTGCTTCTGATGACTGTCTTGTACCCTTTCTCTACCACTCAGGTGCCAGATCGGCTAGGAATCCTCGTACACCTGTATAGGGACTTTGATAAATGCAGGTTTGCTGGGTTTTGCCGGAAAATTGCAGAAGGTACTCGAAGTGGGGCAGGGTTTTATCGGCTTTGTTCCCCAAAGACCTCCCAGATGGGAAGGGGCTGTAGTGAAGTAAGGTTCAGATAGGGACTGGAAGCCAGTTTAATCTTCCTTTGACCAAGTGACCTCAGTTGTCTGCCACCATGGGCCTTGGTACAGGTAGGACTTGAGGTGGAGGCAGAGGGACCTGCTGGTTGCATCGACAGTTGTTTTATAATACCTGTGTTTCTCTTCTTGGAAGCTGTCATGGCTTGTGCAGGCCGTATGTCTGTTTCTGAGAAATTTATGAAGCAGTTGTCCTTTGGGCAAATCTTTAACTTTTTTTAAAACCAGTGATACCCAAAGAACTAGGGGATCCTGGAGAGGTTAGGCATGTTTGGTTGGATGTTAGGAGAAGCTGAACCATGGGCTTACTTGTCTGCATGTCACTCTTTCTCCGCTGTACAGTCCGTACTTCCTTAATTTGGATTCCTGCAGCCTGAGGGCATTGGAGGGCCCTCTTGTGTCCTGCTGGACTGAGGCCCCTTCAGAGCAGAGCTTGGAAGGGGCTGACCAATAGCATACTGTTGGAGGTGGGTGGGGGGCCCCACAGGAGCACCAGCCAGCTGCCCAAGTAGGGTCCTATGTCCCCAGAGCTGAGAGACATTCAGGGACAGACTCAATAACTGTGTAAGCTGGAGTATGCTCCAGGGGCCAGTGTGCTTCTCTAGTGGGGGGCTTCCCTCCTCAAGTGCCTAGAACCAGACACCTCCATACAGGACACCCTTCCTAGGGTAGAAGTGCTGGGTGGGGGTAGGGGAAGTAAGGGTGGAGTGGCAGCTTTAGAGGCTTACTTACCCATATGCTATGAGGTGGGCATCCATTCCTGATTGAGGCCTAGCTGTTACTGCCCTGTTCCAGAGAGCAAGAACAACTGAGCTCTGGCAGCTCCCTAAGTACTCACCATTCCCTCCCTCTTCCCTACCCCAGGCGCTCAGCAGGGAGATCCTCTTTCCCGGTACATCTTCAGGAAGGCTGGGGAGATGCTGGGCAGACACGTTGTGGCAGTGTTGCCTGAGATTGACCCGGTGAGTTGAGGTGGGAGCTGCTAGGCCAGTTTCGGCCCTTACCCATGAGGGGTGACACTGTCCCATCAAACTCTGTAAATTGGATATGATTTTAAATGAAAACTTGGGTTTGAGAAAAGTTTTGTAGAATGTAACACACGGAAGTTCTTTGGTCTAGTGCCTCCCTCTGTGGCTGGTCCGTAATCTTTACCTATGCAGAGCAAATTGGTTTAATGTGGTCCATGTGCCCTCCCCTTTCAATCATGTTTCTGCCCATCTCCCTCTCTTCTTGCTCCTTCCTCTGTTGTTGCTCAAAGCTTTTTCCTTGCCCCTCTCCCTTGCCTCTATGAATCTCCCTATTTTCCTTCCTGTTTCTCTGTTCTTGAGTTCACCTCTGGTTGGCGACTGGCGGGAGTGTGAGTGGGATAGGGAGCTCTGGCTTAAGAAACTCCCCCCTCAGTATGGAAGAGACGTGGTCACCCCCACTAGCCATTTCTGCTCTCTGCCCAGGTCTTGTTCAAAGGGGAGATTGGCCTCCCTATCCTGTGTGTGGGCTCTGTGTGGAAGAGCTGGGAGCTGCTGAAGGAAGGTGAGTAGGGGTAGGGGTAAGGGCGAGGGATGGTGCTGGAAAAGAGGTGGCTCAGGACAGCTGCCTGCTCCAGGGAGGGCCTGAGACCTGAGGCCTGGACAGACCACAAGGCCCTCAGCTTTCAGTCTGCCAGGGAGCCCTTTTACAAGGTCCCATTCGGCTTCTTTGAACTCTTAAAAAGATGTTCTTTTCCAAAGGATTTATTAAATAAATACCACTTTTGCAAAATTAAAGGCAAATCTAGCCTGGCCGGTGTGGCTTAGTAGATTGAGCATCATCCCATGGACTGAGAGGTCCCAGTTGGATTCCCAGTCAGGGCATATGCACCTGGGTTGCCAGCTCAGACCCCAGTGGGGAGCACGCAGGAGGCAGCCAATTGATGTTTCTCTCTCACATTGATGTTTCTTTCTCTCCCTTCCTCTCTCTCTAAAAAGTCGATACAAAATGTAACTTAAAATTAGAGCTTCTGACCAGCATGTGGTGACATCCCTAGTCTCCACTGTCCTAGCCAGAAGGAAAGAAATGTGTTTCATCCTTGCCGCCTTGTTTTGGGCAGCTCTGGTTTCCATTAAGCATTCTGAAGTAGCTCAAGGACCCATTGCTACCTGGAGTTCCCTGCATTGGGGACTGGGGGCATGTGGGCCCCTCTAGGACCTCTACAGAAATGCCTCAGGGCCTGGATCCCTTTCCTTGTTCTTTGTCCCCACCCTGGTCTCCTTTCATCTCTGTCCTCTGCATTCTTTCCCTCCAGGTTTCCTTTTGGCGCTGACCCAGGGCAGAGAGATCCAGGCTCAGAATTCTTTCTCCAGCTTCACCCTGATGAAGCTGAATCACTCCTCCGCCCTGGGCGGGGCCAGCCTAGGGGCCAGGCACATCGGGCACCTCCTCCCCATGGACTACAGTGTCAATGCCGTTGCCTTCTACTCTTATACCTTCTCCTAGGGGGCAGGCCCAGGCTCCACCTGCACCCCCATGGCCAGTGGACTTTGGGTGCTGGAAGGGAGGGGGCTTTTTTCCTTTTTTAAAAAAAAAAGAAAAACACATATAGAAAATAAATGCACTTTACCCACTCTCCAGTTGGATTGTGTTGTGAAGCACACTTGCTCTGCACATTCAGTGCATCTGCCAGCAGGTATCCCAGAGGGCACAGGAATGGTTTTAGCCCAGGGTTTAAAGCCCCACCCCAGGGTCTTGGCCTGTGGAATAGTCTGCTTGTCCTATGTTGGACATATAATTTATGTGTGCTGCCCCTCCCCCCATGTTAGCATACTTACGCTGCTGCTGCCAGTTAACCTGTGACCTCCGTTTCTGCAATGATCTCTGCCAGCATTTTTAGTGGAACTAAATGTTCTCCATGCAAAACATCACCAGGAATAACCTTAGACACACCACACCCTCTCCTGATAGTCCCAAGTAGGGCTTAGGGGATGGTGCAAATCTCATCTGGGAGAATTTTAACTCGCTGGATTTGGTACTTAAGGTAAGCAGCACATTTTGCAGTTTTTCTACATGAATGAATTCTTGGAGAAATTATAAGGATGGCTGAGATTCAAGACCAACTAGATACAACTTAACTAGGCGGCCTAACCATTCTGGGGCTGCTAGCCTGGCTCTGGTTGCAGCTGCATTTGCTGTGTGGCACCGGGAAAAATGAACGTCATTGAAGAGCTCACACGATTTCTGTCCTCTGAATACTGTAGTTTGGTAAAGACAAGCCCAAAGCTTCCTGTTCTGCTGCCTGTACTGCATAGCGAAGGCCGAAGACAGAGCCTTGATTCAGAGTGGCTGCCTCTCTAGGTGTTTAGAGTGTAAAATGTTAGAAGGCATGGATTATGTCCTGGACATCAGCTCTCTAACTGATATGTATCAGTTATTCTAGAGCTTGTTTTAAGCTTAGATTTCTGGGTTTTTTTTTCTCCTCTATAAGGTATCTGATTTAAGGTCAAGGATCAGGTGGGGAATTTTCATTTATTCTAAACACCTTTTGTAATTGCTGCTGCAGAGGTATCTGCACTTGTGGGAGCTCTACCCTACAGCTTTTGGATTCTGATTAAGTCCTTGAAGGGGTCGTGGATATTTGTTTCCTAAATCAGATGACACTTATTTCACAATGTATAGAGAATGACAGCTGCTCTCATTCCATCCACTCTTACCCAACATAGTAAGGTGGAGCTTTGAGCAATAAGAACTCAAGCCAAGTCCCTTCTGAAGGGATAGCCAGCCTTCTTCCCATCTAGCTATGGTCCAAACCACTGGGGTCCAGCTCTTGGAGCAAGTCTCTCATACACCATCTGGCAAAAAGCTGGCAAAGAGGACAGGGACACAGTGGAGGTGCCTTTGCTGTATTTCTTTGTCCTAATAACGGTTAATGAGCAGTGGACTTTGCAAAAGTTTTTTACATGATGTCAGGATCAGGATCAGGTAGTTTGGATTTAGAATCTAAAACTTTATTGGTGAAGAGTTTAAAATAGAAGCCTTATCTTCCTTAACATTGTTAGGCGCTACTATTCCAACTGGAAAGAGTAGGATTCAGAGCAGAGTAAGGAGCACATCATGACTGATGTTTTTTAGTGCCAGCATGTAAGTTGAATAAATCTTAGTTATTAAAGTATACACGTTTAGGTATGTTCCTACTTCCTTTGGCCAAAGGAGTTGAGATGAGGTAGCTTATTTTCCATTAGTAAAGCTCTATTGCAGAGGTTGTAGTGTAGAAAGAAGTGATTTTTGATGAGTTTTTCCCTTTCAGCTTTAAAAATATATTCCCTAATCAAATCAGGAGCAATTAATGGACTTCCATACTACCAAGCCTATAATGCCTGTGATAAGGCAAGAGAGCTTAGAACAAGAACTGGAGGCCTTGGCCAGGTAGCTTAGTTGGTTAGAGCATCATGTGGATACCCCAGATGATGGTTGTGGGTTCAATCCCCGGTCAAGGCACATACAAGAAGCAACCAATGAATGTGAAATAAGTGGAACAACAAATCGATGTTTCTCCCCCCCCCCCCCCCTCTTTCTCTCTAAATTCAATATATTAAAAAAAAAGAAATGAAAACCAGACTCAGACGAGGCCAACACCGCCTTAATCTGCCTGTGTGATCTTGTAGACTACATAGCCTCACCTGTACCACTCTTAGCAAATATGTGTCAGATGTCTTCTAGCTGTGATGGGTGCTCTAAGAATTAAAAAAGTATACCCTTACACCTTATTCCAACTGAAAGTTGGTGAAAACTTATGGAACTGCATGTTTACATTATCTGCTTTTCTGGAACATACTTCAGTTAAGTTTAATTTTAAAAATTGCTCTGGCCAGTTTTGCTCAGTGGTTAGAGCATTGGCCTAAGGACCGAAGGGTTGGTTTGATTCCAGTCAGGGGCACTTACCTGGGTTTCAGGTTTCCCTGGCCCCAGTTGGGGTCACTCAGGAGGCAACCAATCAATGTCTCTCTCTCGCATATGTCTCTCTCTCTCACATTGATGTTTCTTTCCCTCACTACCTTCCAATCTACCTTAAAAAAAAGGAAAAATATCCTCAGGTGAGGATTAACAACAACAAAAATGAATACACCATTCACATCTTCAAGGATGTGAATAGTTCAGTCCCTGTATATCCATATAGTATCTCAAAAAGCCATAAATTGGCAAGTCAGTTCATTTTTTTTCTCCTGGTTTTAGGAAGGAGGCAAAGAAATGACAGCACTCAAAGCAAAACCCATGGGCTGTGGTCTTGTCCCATGATATTTGTACCATATGACAAAGCCCCTCAGAGAATGATCAGGAAGTTCAAGCTAAGTGTAAACCGAGCAAGTAGGAATAATCAAACCAATCTCTACAACAGCAGTGACATTGTGTTACCACAGTAGCACTGGTACTAGGACTGCATGGGACCTAGCAGGCTCTCAAACTTGTCCAATAGTTGAAAGGCAGATACAGAATCCTTGTATTCTAGATAAGAGTCAGTTTTGCCCAGAAACAGGACAAATAACAGCCATCCAATTTCCCTTCAAGCCCCAAAATTTCCTGGTACCATTTTTCATCCAAAGCTGTCCACATCATTGCCACTATTGCTACTATGTATTAAGTGATTATTATGTACCAGGTAGTATTTTTAAATTCAATTCAATCTAATTGTCACATTCACCCCAAGAAGGAGGTATGGCAGCTTTACAAATGAACTGAGGTTCAGACCCAAAGCACAAAGAAATTGGTGGAGGTGGAATTTTTGCAGGTCTGTAACATCCAAGCCTCTGGTTAATACTACCTTGTAACACAATTTAGAATGGAAAATTACACAATTAAAACTATGATCAATCTCGAGACAAAAAAAAAAAAAATCGCACAAACACACCCCATACATACACCACCTATATAGTATGATATGTAATGACCCAACCGTAAGAAAAAGGGTTCCACTGCCAGCAAATGCATTTTATTCTAATTTTATTAAGATTTTCAACAGCTGCCATTTGGTTTGTATAGCAAACTTTTTAAAAAGTAACTTTTTTCTATTTTTGATATTTTTATGAAAATGATTTTCTTCAGTTTTAGAGCCCTGCCCCTCCCCTAAAGAAGTATTAGTAGCCACCATGTAGTGTTTATTTAGGGGGAAAAGAACAAACACAGCTCTTAAACACTTGTGAAACAGGGATAAAGGTCCAAAGTCAAGACCTGGGCCTGCTGCGGGGGCTAAGCTGCCTCTGGACAACATCAGCGCTTCACCTTCCACACTAACAGAGAGAGGTGGGCGTGCACAGACTTCTGGGGGCTTCTTGTTCCACAAGCTGCACTCCCCTTTTCCTCTGGACCTCCTCTGATGGTGGTACTCCTTCCCCCAAAATCTGTCCAACAAAGGCAGCATGATCTTTAATAAAGGTTCTACTTTGTGATGGAGATGATAGTTCAGATACTCCCCCATTCAGTTGGGGAGGAAAAAATCTCCAACACATTATTGATGGTTCACTTTCCTGTCCACTCAAATACAGGCTCATACTTTAGAATAAATTAATTACCAGATGCTTCAAAAGTACTGACATGTAGACCGCAAAAAATTTCCTTATAAAAGAGAAGTTGCAAAATTATAAAAATTTCTGCAGCAGTTCAGGCTCCTACTGTGGAGCTTCTGATGGCAAAGCTGGTTCTGATAAACAGTTCCTATGACATGCAGAGCACCTTCCCCTAGAGTCTTCTTGTCTGAGGGTTCCTTGAGACCACAGGAGGTTGAAATCCAAGTTTAAAAGACTTCCTGCTGACAAAATGTGATATACCTATCAATGGAATACTATGTAACAATAAAAAGGAACAAACCACCAACACAAGTTAAACATGGACAAACCACAAAATATGCTAAGTGAAAAAAGCCAAAGGTGAGAGACCACATTTTGTATGATTTCATTGATATGATGTCCAGAAAAGGCAAATTTATAGAGACAAAGATTGGTGTCACTTAGAGCTGGGAACAGGGATTAGTGTTCAATAAACGAAGAATCTTACTGGGGTGGATGAAAATGTTCTAAAAAAGTTATAGTTGCCTGGCCCATGTTGCTCAGTGGTTGAGCATGGACCCATGCACCAAGAGGTCGCCGGTTCGATTCCCGGTTAGGGCATATGTCCAGGTTGTAGGCCTGATCCCCAGTGGGGGGCATGCAGGAGGCGGCCAATTGATGTTCTCATCGATGTTTCTATCTCTCCCTCTCCCTTCCTCCCTCTCTAAAATCAATAAAGGGGAAAAAAATAAAACAGTTATGGTTATGGCTGCATCACTCAGGAAAGTTACTAAAATCACTGAATTTAACATAAAATGGGTGAATTTTATGATATGTAAATAAGCCTCTATAAAGTTGCTTTGTTTCTTAAAAAGACCCTGCCTCCCTAACACAATTGACAGGGCAGGATTATCATTTAGTGTTGAGTTAGAGTGAAAACATTGTACCATTTTATAGTAAATTGCCTAGAATGTTTCTTCATTATTATGAAATAAAGGTAGCCAGTAAGAAGGTAGTCTCAAAAATGAGACTCCTAGTAACAACAAAATCTAGAGGGGCTTTTTCTTTTGGAATAAAGATGGTGCATCTATCCCTTTGCAGATTTTTCTTCTATCCCCTGGGATAGGGTGGTGACTCTTGGCTGACACCCTGTGGAGTTGTATACTCGGCTGTCCCATTTCTATGACTCATAAAAACCAGACTGATGGGGGACAGCACTTGAGTGCTGCCTTCAGTCAGCCTCCTACTGTTCTGTCCTTTGTCCCTCCTACAGAAGCAAGATTGGATAAATAAAGATAGAAGATTAAAAACAAAGGGGAAAACAAAACCTTTCAAAGTTGTGACTAACCAAGTCTGTGGATGAAATTCACAGGACAGGAGAGCAATGGCTGTAGGAAGTACTCCTGTGAACTACAAAAGCCAGCAGGACCAGAAGAACTAAGGATCCTTGTGGGCAATGAGGGAGAAATGATTTACTTGGGAACTGAGAGCAGACATAGGAGGAGATGAAGTTTCCCCATGCACACCAGATCTGGGTCAACCAATCCTTCTATTCTCTTCACCCACCTCCTAAACTAACGAGGTTTGCATTATCTCCAAGGAGAGTGCTGGGGGGTATACAGTCTTTCCCAATAAGTGGATATGTCCACATCTTTGTCAAATGTCAGGTCTATTCTGCCTGTTCCCATACCTCAACATCACCTAAACCAAGGAACCTTATCAAGAACACTTGCCCCTTCCAATCACAGCAGGTAGATTCCTGGGCTCCTAATATTTCTACGTGGTGTTTGTAACAGCACTAATTTAAGAAGATTCAGTCAAGCTGTTACCTTGGGCTACTTCAAATAACTTTCCTCTCTGACATATAACTGCCAGAGTATCCAACTGACCTTACTTCCCAGACTCCCCGAAATCAAGACAAAACTTTGACACTGTAGCAATACACAATTTGAAAAAATGCTTAGTATTTCACTAAAAACCATAGTGAAATGGTTTTTAAGCCATAGAGTTAACATTAGAACCTTAATTTAAAAGATCCCAGCTAACCCTGGCTGGTTTGGCTCAGCGGTTGGAGCAGCCTACAGATCAGAGAGTCCCAGGTTCAGTTCCCGCTAGGGGCACGTACCAAAAAGTAAAAAATAAAAGATCCCAGCTCTTTTGAGTTTGGAAACTGAGGTGCTACAAAGGTCCAGCCTTTTATTTATGACATTTTTTTATTTGACTTTATATGACCCCAAAAGTCAACTGTTGCAGTCAGAAACTGGCCTAATGACCCAAAGATGCAGGTGCTAGGCCTATGTTGCATCCATCAAGTTTTCTGTTGTTGTTCTACAGCCTGGACAAACTGAAAAGGTGTTGACTTTATTTTTATGTTTTTCTCCTTGAAGAGCAAGAGATAAAATAATTTTCATCTTGTAGTTTTAAAGTTCAGTAAAGACAAAAATCAGAAATCAATCACTAATAAACTTAACACTGAGTGGCTAGAATTGGCAACTGTTAAAAATCCATGTTCTGTTTCTACACAAATTCTCAAACTTCCAGATGCCAATAAAAAAAGTTTCAATGGAATAGCAACTTCAAGTCAACATCAAAGTGATCACTTATAAATAACAGCCTCCCCTTTAAAGGATAAAGGTGTCCAGCCTGGCTTGCAACCAGACCCTCTCCTATGAGATAAACAGAGTCTCCCAGCCTTTGCCAGTCAAGTTCCAATGAAACCCAAATGTATTTTCTGCTAAGAAGTTGGCAAACTCTAACTATAGCAGAGCCTATGATCTGGGTAATAACTGTGCTCCCACTTCACAACAAAACAGATAAAGAAGAGTTGGGCTATAAGAGGAGCCACTGGAAGCATCAGCCTAAACATTAGAAAAAGGGGTCATATTGGTAGCTGCTTTCTGATTCTGGAGTCAGCACACTGTGTCTGAACAGGACTGGAAAGTCCAGTCCTCAGGTTCACTGCTCATTTGGCAGGAACATTTCGTAGTCCTGACTAAATAGGCCGTAAGAAAACGCACTGAAGACTGACATCCAAAATGGAACCCAACACCAGATGGAAAGACAAGCCCTGTGGACCGCACTTAGCATCTTAGCCTGTCCTGGTGTCAGAAGAGCAAGCCTTCTTAAGGATGAAGAAATGGCTAGATCTGGATCCCTGTAGCTCTTTCCAGACTGGAAGTCACATAGGAATTCACTGTACTCTTTGTGATGGTGCTAGCCAGAGTCTAGAAAATGGTTCTTTCTGCAATCACAACACATTTCCAACAGCCTTTATAATCAGCTTGGACAAGCTAATGGAGACAAAAGAAAGAAAAGCAGCCTCAGAAAAGAGAGAGATTTCTATTCCTGCACTTCTAAGGCTCTCTCCTTGTTATAGGCAACAACCCCAGCTGAAAGCTGAAGCTGGAATAAAGAAACTTCTTTATTCATAGACCTCCCTGAAAACAAGTCAGAATTCCATTCTCTCGAGGTAAAGGCTTTGGGAATTACTGTGCACGTCTGGCAATACAAGGAAGGCCATTTCAAATAATGCTGTCCAACAAACTGATGTAAGAAAAAGATGTGGGTTTGTATTTTAAATCTGACCTTAGGCTGTGGCTGTTCAAAAAGCCAACAAGGAACTCATAAGAAAAAGGAGAAATTCTTAAGCTTTCTAGACTCTAGTCCTTTCCTTCCAACCTCTGTCCCGCATCCACATACTGAATTTACACAGACTTTATTTCAAGTTACCCAATATTTTCCTGATATGCCTATCATACAACACAGCAGCAGTCGCACAGAAGCCACTGCTCTCAGGCCTCTGCAAGTCCTCATCCTGGGAGAAAGGCCAGGAACTGACACACTCCCTTTTAGATCTGACTCTGCCACCTACATCTCTATCACACAAAGGCAGCACTTGGTGCCCAGTTTAGTTCCTTCTGAGTATCAACAAAAAACCCCTGTGACTTACAGGTAGGTAAGACAAAAGGAATGTACCCAGAGAGCCCAATCTAGAAAACTTTCAAAGCTGGGAGTGTAGGAACAGCAACATTTTATAACTGCTGAAACTATTCTGGTGGCTCAACACAGTCACCTGGTCAACTGGGCCACACTGTGCTAGGCTTTTAAAAGCTCTTTTGCATAATTCTGTTAAATGGGAGAAGCATCAAAATTGTAAACTGAGCTTCTTGCTAATGTCCTGAAAAATATATTTACTGGTAAAAGTGAATAAACCTTTCTAAGAGAAGTAAATATCAAAAGGATCAAGTCTTCATGGGGCTTTAAAAAAAAATGTCAAAATAAACTTAAGAGACACTAACAGGATTCAAGAACAACTTCTCCAGGCCAAAGCTGATGGCCAGCATATCATGCCTCTCAAATACCTTTGGTAACAATATATTTTCTTAAAATCAGAGTAGGGTAGCAGGGTGGAAAGGGACAAGGAACTAGACACCATGAGAGACTAAGAGGCAAATCTACCCTAGTGCTCTTGTACTTCGTAAATGATGAGTATGATGGTAGCTGTAAACAGAGGCTTAAAAGTAAGCCAACAGTAACTGTATGACTCAAGTGACAATATAACCATCACAGTTTTCCCCTTGTAATTTACAACTTTCATCAACCATCAAGAGTTACCGTAAACCAGTACTTGAAGTCTGTGTTTCCTTGAATGAGGTTCAAGGCAGGAAGACATGGGCTCAGCAGGCCGTTGGTAACCCCAGTTCATTGCAGGAAGCCCCCAGGGGTTGGGAGTGCTGAGTTGCATAGTCTGGTTGACAACATCTGCTTCTTCCATTCGTCCCTCTTCCCATCCAGCTTAACAGACTCAATAGTAGTTTTCTAGGTGTTCACTGCCCTTGCAAGTATACAGTAGAGTAGGAGAGCATTGGTGAACACCCAGATTTTCTTGGTCAGCTTATTTTGTTTAAACACACATAGCAGAACATTCCTGATGAAGGGGGGGAAAAGACGACTGCAATTTCCTTAACTCAAAAAGCTAAAAACTAATAATAATAATAATTATTATTATTATTATAGGAAACTGCTCAAAATGAAAGTCAGTAGAACAAGAGAGAAATACTCAGAGGCTTGTAGAATAAGACTGAGCACATTAGCTACTCCAGTCACAGTGTCAAGTTAAACCACTATTCCCCTTACCCCGCTGTGCACCCCTAACCCCACCCCCCTTCAGCTCTGCCTTTTTGTGCAGTGCTGTCCCCAGATGTGGGGACATACAAGTCCTCCTCAAAGTTTTTCTGTCAGATCAGTACTTCACTCCTGGAATAAATTCCTTGGCATCCGGGTTCAGGTTACTTTTGCTCTGAAATAAGAACCAAGAGATAATAAATCCCACGGCAAGCTGCATTTTAAAACTTATTTTCTCCCTGCTTCCATTATTACCAATATCTTTCTCTCAGCCTCAAGGAGAAAAAAAATTAGAATGTCTTGCAACTCAGGCTATTACTGCTGGCTGGTCTCAGTGGATCCTGACATACTAAGCCCTGACCAACCTCATTTTCTCCTTCCTGCTTCAGACTCCTGCTCCCTTTATAATGCTTTCATTAGGAGTTTGTAAGTTTGACTCCAAAAATCATTCAATTCATCGAGTACCTTAACTCAATGAACATCAGAGAACTCCATCAAACCAGTTTGGTTACCACAATCTCTATATACATCTATCTTCTTTTCATCTTGTTGTACTCTCTTTGGTTCTCTACTCTTTTGTGAATACCCCAAACCTTAGCAAACTACAGGCCACTATCATTCCGAACATGAGTTGTATGAGAACTAAATCACTCAGAATTCCATAAGTAAACATGGACGGCAGGGAATTAATTTCTGTGGTCTTCTCATTTTAAGTGGAAAAGGGCCTCTTATGAGTATGTTCCTTCCAAAAAGAAGAACTTTTATAACAGCATCATTCAAAACTATAAATACATATTTGAGGAAGAGTAAAAGAAAAGGACAACAGCAAATGATAATTTAAAACCAAATCTTTCCATGTTCAAATTTTTATCCTTAATTCCAATTCTACTTTGAAAAGCCCATTGGGGAAAATGAAAGTTGGTGATGCTACAACATAATGTTTCCACAGTGCTTTATATAGTGAATGTATCTCCAATATACCCGCTTATTAATGCCCACGTGATGAGTGAAAAAATATTGGCTTAAAGGGCTCCAGAGATGTGCCCAAGGTTGTAGGGCCAGAAAGTAAGTCTGTGACTCCAAATCCCATGTTTTCACTATGTCATGTGTGGAACTACTTATGGCTCTTACCAAAATATCTTCAGAATCGTGACCATCGCTGACAGACAGTCCATTTAACTGTTGTTGCAACTGTCCCATGGCCTGAGGCAGGTCTCGTGATGGAATAAACCAGTCTTGGTCTTCTTCATCCAGCATCTCCTGGAAGCACCGGTCCAAAAAGTCCTGCTCCTGCAGCTCCTCCTCTACCTGGCAAGCAATTGTGAGGAGCTCAGACTTACCTGTCTCAGTGGCACTCATCCCTTCCAGTTTTTATTCCACCTCTTTCAGAAATTTTTATTCCAAGAGTAAGAATGATCTTGCATGAGATCTACTAAGAATTAAGACGCTTCTAATGACTGGCTGGAGAAAATATAATTTTTTTTCAACCAAATCCCATCATAATAAGAGGAAACAGTTATTCAAAACAGCAGAAATTCTTCACAGATCTTCTAAGATCTCTAATATGTGACACAAATCTTCCATTCACATGGCACTTACTGAAAATCATTTTTAAAGCTTAAAATTCTTTTCTTAATCTTGTTAAGAAGCAACTCTTCCTCAATTTTCCATTTTATAACTATGAAAAAGGTACAAAAACTATGTAACTAGACCACTACCTAGATAGTGGACATCAAATCAAAATCAACTCTTAGCTTCTGGCCCACTTTTCTGGTAATGAGGCCCATAAGGATGAAAAATACTTTCAGAACCTTAGAAAGATATAAAAAACATGTTTTGGCGTACCAATAGAAAATGATATCATTGCCCTGGCTGCTTTGGCTCGGCGGTTAGAGCGTTGGCCTGCAGTCCAGAGAGACCTGGGTTCGGTTCCCGCTAAGGGCATGTACCTCGGTTGCAGTTTGTCCCCGGCCCTGGTTGGGTCGTGCGGGTGGTAACCACTCGATGTGTCCCTTTCACGTCGATGTTTCTCTCTTCCTCTCTCTCCCTCCCGTGCTATCTGAACAAAAAACAAAAAAAATGTCCTCGGGTGAGGATAAAAAAAAAAGAAAATGGTATCATTAATATAGTATTCTTTCAAAACAAGAAATAATATTAGCCCTGGCCAGTGTGGTTCAGTGGTTTGGAGTGTCGTCCCAAACAAGGAAAGGTTTCAGATTTCATCCCCAGTTGGGGTGCCTGTGGGAGGCAGCCAGCCCATCAATGTTTCTCTCTTACATCAATGTGTTTTTTCTCTCTCTCTCTCCCCCTTCCTCTCTCTCTCAAATCTATGGAAAAAAGCAATGAATGAAAAAGGATTTTAAAAAATGAAATAATATGAATATTAAAACAATCTATATTTCTCCAAGACTGCCCTAAACTAAAGCAACATGTATCTAGGATATTTTATACCTGTTTTCAGTCATTGTTAACTCTTATGAAAGAGTTCATTCTACAGGTGATGTGATTTTAATAGGCCTTCTGCTTCACCTCTGGCCATCCCTTTTCCCGCAGTGGGCCTGGTGACAGATTCACAGCTCATTCATGCCACTACCAGGGGTGGTCAAGCAAAAATAATCACCCAAATAGCCAATACAGTTAACTTAAGAATTCAAAGGAAAAGTCACTGGTAGCAAGACTCAAAAATAGAATTTCAACATTACAATCAGCAACATTTTATTTATTTTTTTAATATATGTTTTTTTAAATCCTCACCTGAGGACATTTTTCCATTTATCTTCAGATAGAGTGGAAGGGGGGGACAGAGAGAGAGAAAGAGAAACATCGATGTGAGAGAAACATCGATTGGTTGCCTCCCGCATAACCCCGACCAGGGCCAGGGACCGAACCACAAGCAAGGTAAGTGAGCTTGACTGGAATCGAACTGGGACTCTTTGGTCCACGGGCCAATGCTCTAAACCCCGAGCCAAACAGACCAGGGTAGTGGTTATTATTATAAATACATCATGACTTTCTAAATTACTTGCTATTTGTTAAAAAATGTTGCTGCTTGCCCTGGCCGGTTTTGCTCAGTGGTCAGAGCATTGGCCCTCGAACAAAAGAGTCAAGGTTTGATTACAGTCAAGCGCACATACTTTACTTGTGGTTCTGTTCCCAGCCCTGGTCCGGATCATGCGGAGGCAATCAATCAATGTGTCTCTCTCACTTCAATGTTTTTCCCTCTCTCCGCCCCTCCCACTCTGTATGAAAATAAATGGAAAAATATCCTCGGGTGAGAATTAAAAAATAAATTTAAATAAATTTAAAAAATAACCACCACAAAATATTTCCAAGCCACAAGATTTAACGTGACTGTTCAAGATCTGCCCTGACTCTCCCCAAAAGCATTAACAGTGTGTTCCCCTTATTAAATTTATCCTTATTCAGAGGCACAACCCTCAAAAATGGTTTTCTGGGCACAGGGGTGTGACAAAAGCATGGTATTATATGCTATTCACACAAATCATGACACGTGGGAACTGCTGGCTGCACCCCCAAAGCTTGTTTTCTTCTTCCCACAGCAACAGGCTGTTCAGTTAATACCGTATTTCCCTTCTCCCATGCTACATACGGCCATGTTAACTATTTATCACGTAAGTGTCTCCAGAAGAGATGTGAGCACTTTGCATCACTTAGTTAAAAGAAGATCCTTTGCCTTGGCCTTCAGCTCTCTCTCTTTCCCAGTGGCTAGACTTTCAGTTATCCTTCAGCTACTCAGCTGATATGGAGGTGGCAAAGAAACACCATGGAAGGAACTGTGTGGTAGCACCTGTCTATCTGGAATGACTTACCTTGGGCTATTAACATCACAGAGATAGAAGACAATGAATTACTGTGCTGAATATTTATTGAAGCAGTCTAGACTCCCCCCAGCCTACTAAACACTCATCTACCTCAGGCTCACATTCTGCCAGTCCCTGAGTTCCTATTTGAGGTATGACAAGCTGGCCTGTCTGCCCAAAACTGCTATTTCCCAGAAGTCCACACCAGATCACCATGGCATTAGATCCTCTTTTAATCAGTGTGGTAGAAAAGCATCATGATCTTCCTCCAAAGTACTGTCTGGTCTCTTACCAGCTGAAGGTGCTTCCTGGTCAGCTCAAATCAGGCCTCCATGTATTTTTAAGTTATTCGAAAGCTAAGCAACCCATTTCTTTTGTAACAGACTGATAATAAAATATTATAGCTGCTGAGTTATATACATCATTGTCCTTCCATTTCTTGCTTTACCTGTCTGTTGAAATCCTCTTCATTCTCCATCCACATGTACTCTGCAAATGGGTTTTCCTTCTCATCGTGCCCATTTAATACCTGGTCCTCTTTGGATTTTACATTGGGTGATGTATTCGCCACACTGGACCCATTCATTATGCTAGAACCTAAACAGAAGTAAAAGAAAGGATTAAATGTTACAAGGATCAAGGAAATAAAAACCTATAATATCAAGATTGTTCCAGAAGATTCTGAAGTTCTAAGTCCAAGTTATTAACTATAGATGAACACAAACTGCTAATCTGTACCTGTTACAAAACTAAGAATATCCTGTAGTTATCAACTATACAAATGTACAATTCTTTAAGAGTTCAAAGACAAAAATGTCCTCTTTCTGCCATTTTGGAGCCTGTGTAAGTCTGCTGGGAACAGGACTTCTGTAACAACAAATATGTCTGGAAGGCTGTGGTCCACGGCCGTTTTTGCTGGCTATAAGTGGGGTCTCTGGAACAAGAGGGAGCACACAGCTCTTTTTAAAATTGAAGGTTTATGCTTGAGATGAAACTGAGTTCTATTTAGGCAAGAACTGTGCTTATGTGTACAAAGCAAGAACAACAGAGTGACTCCTGGTAGCAAACAGAGCAAAACCAGAGTAATCTGAGAAAAGGTAACTTGTGCTCATGGAAACAGTGGCATGGTTCACGCTAAATTAATTCCGAAGCAACCTTCCTGCTATAGTCATTGGACACAGAATGCATCTAATGCTGTACCCCTCAAGGATTTAAACTAACAGAAAAATGAATAAATAAATGGATTTGTTCTCAAGGAAGGAAGGAAGGAAGGAAGTCTAGGGGTAATTAGCTTTTCTAGGCAAGTAGGAGGGGGTTAAATCTTTTCAAAGTAAATTCTGTAGGTTCTAGAACCTAATCAAGATCATACAGTTTCCTTAGCATTTAAATAAGTAAAGAACATATGTTCTTTTTTTAAAAAGATACGTTTTTATTGATTTTTTAGAGAGGAAGGAAGGGAGTGAGAGAGAGAGAGAAACATCGATTGGATGCCTCTTACACCTCCCCCCCACCTCCCAACTGGGAATTAAGCCTGCAACCTGGGTATGTGCCCTGACTGGGAATTGAACGGGGACCTTTCAGTCCATGAGACGATGCTCAATCCACTGAGCCACACTGGCCAGGCAGAAAATGGGTTCTTAATGAACATTGTAAGCAACTGTCTCTTATTCTGATTCTCAAGCTTATTTTTCTTTAGAACATATTTCAAAAAACAATACGTGTTCATTGTATTGATAAGTGAAAAGGAGAAAACTAGAGTCACCAGTTGTTCAACTAACCAGAGTAAAGAATGATTAACAATGTGGTGCATATAACCTTCCTGACTTCCCCTGTGTGTATTCAGATACAGAGACACACACTCCCCAAGTATCCATTCTTATATTAACAGCATAATGCACCATCATTTGCTTTTTCTCATTTCTATGTTAGTATAGCCATACTGTCTTTGGGAGTGTTTCTAATGTTTCTGTATTATAAAGATTCCACAAACTTCTTGTGCTCATTTTTTTCCTAACAATTTCCTTAGGATAACTCCTAGGAATAGAACTGCTATGTTAAAAAGTATGCTTCTTTTTTTTAAGGTTCTTGATTTATTGCCACATTGCCATAAGAATTTAAATTCCCATCAGTAGTAAGTGTTTGTTCCTCTGCATTCATGAGTTGTATTATTATTATTATTATCTTTACCTGAGGACATTCTTTCCATTTTTTGTTCAGATACAGTGGGAGGGAGAGAGAGAGAAACATCGACATGAAAGGGACAGGTGGTTGCCACCTGCATGACCCAACCAGGGCCAGGGACAAACTGCAACCGAGGTACGTGCCCTTAGAGGGAACCGAACCCAGGTCTCTGTGGACCGCAGTCTGATGCTCTAACCGCAGAGCCAAACTGGACAGGGCTGTATTATTTTTTAAACCACTGCCAATCTCATAAGAGAAAACTTGCCATTTATTGTTTACATTTACATTTCTTTGATTTTTACAGAGACTGAATATTTTGAGATATTTTTACTGGCCTTTTATATTTCTTGTTTTACCATCTTTCTGCTAAAGTACTTTGCCCATTTTTCTATCAGGGTATATATCTTTTCCTTATCTTTTGAAAAGCTTTTATTATATTTTCATAATTTTAATTTTTCATAAATTAATTTATAAATAAAAATATTTTACTTATTTGCTTAATTTTCTGGTAGCAGTTTGCTGGCCTTAATTTTTGTCTACAGCTTGATGGAGGTTTATACATTTTGTAATTCACCTGAATATTAGGAACTCCATAAATACTTGTTAATCATTGTACTTAGGCAAGTTTCCTTTTCTATCCCATTTAAGTATCATCCCCTCTCCCATCCCCCTTGGCGCATGTTTAAGTTTTCTTTAACAAATTAGTTCCTGATTCATTTTCATCTTGGCAACATTCATGAAAAAGTCCTTCTCTGCTCCTGGGTACATTAAAAAATTACTGTTTACTCCTCTTTAAATTTTTTTGCAATTTGCTAACCTCTGTGGACAATAGGTAGAACTGTGAAGAGTAAAGAATAGCCAGAAAAACAACTATTAATAGTTTTAAAAATATTTCATTTAAGACAGAACCCATTTAGTTCACTGTTGGTATAAATAGGGCACCTAGTATGAAATTGTCAGTTTAACATATTTTAGATAGAGACCAAATAAATCAATAGTAATAGCATGATGCTCCACCATTTGCTTTTTCTCATTTCTATGTTAATATCATCCTACTGTCTTCTGGGATGTTTCCAATGTTTCCGTATTATAAAGGCTGCTTCTATATTCCAAATTCAACTCCATAATAATTCCCCAAGGCTACAGAAGAGAGAAAACCAGTTCCTTATTTTTACCACTTCCCCCATTTGCAGCATAAAAATGATAGAAGTAAGAGAGCTCTAAAAGCCTGGGCAACTGCATAAGTGGGTTATTCCTCAGCACAGTAACTCTTAAAGGTCCTGATCGTTGCCGGGTAGCAGGTTGTACAGTATTATATTTCTAAAGATTCATTTGGCAGTTGTTTACAGCCAACACAACGAGTTGTCCTTATCAATATGGAGATCTTTCACAGAGACTCAGGGTTTAGTTTTCTAAAACATCTGCCTTTGCCCAAAAATATAAATCCTGAGTGCACATGACCATAAGGAAAAAGGGAATGCGAAGAAAGAACAGAATAACCCTTCTAATTCAAGAACAAGGCAGAACACAGAGAGCAAACTGCAGGATGCACTCTTTCATGAGAAAGGGAATGGAAAATTACCATAATCTCAACATGGGGATGTTCCCCAAATTAACACACTTTAAAAAAGTTGAAAACACTGAGCTATTGGACTGCCGATACTAGAAAAGTGGTTTTCTTACAGTTGGCTATACAGTGTTGACTTGTATTTTATACCATTCCCCCTGTGTTTTCTACACAATTGGAAAGTTTGGTTTCTCTAAATAGCAACAACCCAACAACTTAATTTGTATAGTGTTTAATGACTTATCAAGTACTTTCATATCTATCCTCTGATTTAAGGCAAATTGGGGAAGACATCTCTTTCTGTTCCCAGCTCCTCTCCAGCTCCCCACCCACCATGCTCACCCTCTGAGAGCACAGAGTTTCTCTAACCATCCTGCTCTGACATTTCATGTTCATTATTTCACTTGATCCTCACCTATACCAATGCACATCATTATGATACAGTAGTATAGCAGGAACAAAGAAAATGCCTCCAAAGCTTCCAAAGATGCGGAAATGCTTGGTTATATAAAGGTTACAAATCAGAATGATAGCCATGTTGTCAGCTATGCTATGGAGAAGCCCATGTAACAAGGAACTGAATCCTGTTAACCAAGTGAGTGAGTTAGAAGTTCATCTTCATCCGGCTGGTGTGGCTCAGTGGTTGAGCGTCAACCCATGCATTAAGAGGTCAGCGGTTCGATTCCTGGTCAGGACACATGCCCAGGTTGTGGGCCCGATCCCCAGTGGGGGGCATGCAGGAGGCAGCTAATCGATGTTCTCTCTCATCGATGTTTTTCTCTGGGATTCCTGACCCACAGAAACTGAGAGATAATAATTGTTGTTTTAACCTGCTAAGCTTTGGGGTAAGTCATTACATATTAACAAATAACTAATAGATATTCAATAAGCAATGACAACTAGCTCTGCCACAGAAATTATCAGTTACCACATCTTTCCTCTTATCTACTGAGAAGGCAAATGTGCAATTTGAAGTGGGTCATTGCTTGAGGAGTTCTTTAGAATTAGCTCAACAGCAGATAAAGGAGTTTATGTCTGGTCTGTTGTCTATATTACAGAATGAAACCTAAGAACTACTTGAAACTTACTCCCCCTCCACTTCACTTTCCCTTTTAGATACATGGCAAACAGGCTGAAAATGGAAAATAACAGTTGTCATTTTGGCTGAAGATGAAAAAACACATAGCCCTGGCCCTGGCCGGTTTGGCTCAGCGGTTGGAGCATCGGCCTGCGGTCCAGAGAGACCCCGGCTTCGGTTCCCGCTAAGGGCATGTACTTTGGTTGCAGTTTGTCCCCGGCCCTGGTTGGGTCGTGCGGGTGGCAGCCACTCAATGTGTCCCTTTCACATCGATGTTTCTCTCTCTCTTCCTCTCTCTCCCTCCCACTCAGTCTGAATAAAAAATGGAAAAATGTCCTCGGGTGAGGATAAAAACAACAACAACAAAAAACCCACATAGCCCTGTTCCTAGTCAAAACAGAGGTGCTAAGGCCTGCCAAGCATTTGATTTAGCATTTTACTATGGTCAAGGGTTCATGTCTAAAATAGCTTAAATAGGGGCTTTAGTTCTCAGCCATAAAGAACTTTAGGGCTTTGAATGTATCTGGGATATTTCTACAACACATGCTTCATCAGCACAACACTTCAAACACCCACAAATTTTCAGATCCAACATGTTCACAGCAAGAACTAGCTATTCTGTGACCCTAAATGAGATTTGGGACTTTTGACTGAATTACCTGGAAAAAGTCTATTGAGCAGTGGATATAAAAACTAGTCTCTACTATTTTGTTTCCTACAGTTTTGTTAACTTCATTCAGTCTGGTTTATACCACTTTTTTTTTTATCCTCACCCAAGGACATTTTTGCATTTATCTTCACATAGAGTGGGAGGGAGAGAGGGAGGAAGCGAGAGAGAAACATCGATGAGAGAGACACAACGAGTGGCTGCCACCCACACGACTGCAACCCAGGCCAGGGACAAACTGCAACCGAGGCACGTGCCCTTAGTGGGAATCGAACCCAGGACTCTCTGGTCCGCGGGCCGATGCTCTCACTGCTGAGCCAAACTGGCCAGGGCTATAACACTCTTTAAAAGTTAAATATTGTGGATAACAGTTTAAAATTTTATTTTACTTAAAATATACTACCACTAGGTTTTCAGGTTTTGTCCATTCTTAGTTACATCTAGATGCACTCACTCATTAATGACTAAGTGCCTGTTTACCCTAGCCCACGGACGGTGCTTTGATAGGCGAGACAGTCCTTGCCCTGGGAGTATCTACATTCTCTCAGGAGAGAGGCAAGCAAATAATTAAGAATAATCATTATCCCTGTTATAGAAGGAGAAGTAAATGGGACTATTAGAATACAACAGAGGGAACCAATTAAGTCCAGGAGTGGGGGATGGTTAGGAAAGGTGTCCCTGAATAAGTAACACATCGATACCTAAAGAATGTAAGTTAGCTAGTAGTAGGGAGAACAGGAAAATGTATGTTAAGACTCAGAGGCAGGAAAAAACTTTCAGAAACTAAAAGGAGGTGGGTATGCATATAGTTGGAGGGTCAAAGGAGGACAAGTGGGAGGATGGCAAGGAAGAGAAAGAAGGTGCAGAGGCAGACAGGACCAGATCATGCAGGACATTAGCGGCTACATGAATGATTCTGGATTTCATCCTAAAAGCAATGAAAGCCATTAAAAATGGTTCTAGACAGCATAGCAACAAGATTCAATTATATTTTGACATAATTCAGGGCTGCCCTATGGAAAATGGACTGGACAGACAGAATGACTAATGGGAGACCAGTAAGGCAGCCAATGTGCTAATCCAGATGAAAAAAATGATGGCTGCTTGGACTAAGATAACGGCAGTAAGAAGAGAGTGGGCAGATTTCAAAACTATTTTGGTTTGTGATGATGAACTGATGTGGGGAGACAGGATGAGAAAAATATCAATGATAACTTTGGCATTAGCAACTGGTAGATGGTAATGTCATTCACTGAGTTAAGGAACTGTGGAAAGGGCAAACTTTTGTTGGGTGGTGATGGGTAGTGGGAGTACAAGGGGTGATGAGTTGTATTTTGGACATGTTAAATTTGTAATGCCTCTGAAACACTCAAATGGTAATGCTAAGTAGGTTGTCTATATGCATCAAGAACTGGAGAGGTCTGGTTAAATATAAAAACTTGGAGTAGTTGTTCATATAAATGGTAACAGAAGCCATGGGACTAGAAGACATTGCCTAAGGACAAAGGGCAAAGTGAAATAAGAAGAGAGTCCAAGACCCAGACCTGATGTGTGTGCAGGTAGAGGAGGAGAATTAATATAGAAAAGGAGACTAAGAAGAAGCCAGGGTATTGAGAAAGAAACCAGAAAAGTGTGTCCTCACAGAAATCAAGGGAAGAAAAAACCCCCAGTATGATGAGTTGAGTGGTAGTTCACCCCTCAAAAGGCTAACCCACACCCAAATCCCTAGAACCTGTGAAGGCCACTTAGGATAGGGGGTCTTGGCAGATGTAACTAAATTAAGGACCTTGAGATAAGTATATCATCCTGGATTATCCTAGTAGGCCCTAAATCCAATTATAAGTGTCCTTATAAGAGAGAAGCAGAGGGAGATTTGAGACAGAAAAGAGGAGGAAATGTGATCATGGAGGCAGAGATTGGAGCACAGTCGTCCCTTGCCACTTCAGTGAAGCCGCAAAAGTTGAAGAGCGAAGTGGCGAGGGACGACTGTATATAAATAAAGAATCCTACCTCATGGAAATTCATTTATCGAGGTAGAGTCTGGAACTGATTAAGCACGATAAACGAGGACCGACTGTACATGGCCACAAGTCAGGGAATGCCTACAGCCACAACAGTTGAAGAGGCAAAGAACAGATGAACAGATTTTCCCTCTTCCACAGCCTCCAGAGGGAGTGCCCCTGGGCCACACCTTGAGATTTGAGACTTCTGGCCTCCAAACCGCCAGAGAATTACCACTCACCTTACCATACCGGGTTCTTTCTTCCCTTGATTTCTGTGATGACACATTCTTTTGGTTTCCTTCTCAACTCTCTGGCTTCTTCTTAGTTTCCTGTTTGAAGCCACCAGTTTGTGGTAATTTGTAACAGCAGCCACAGGAAACTAACACACCCAATAAACAGGTGTGCCAAAGGCTGCTGAAAGGTCAAGAGGAAAGCTGAGGAGTGTCACAGAGTTTAGAACCATGGAGGTCTCCGATGAGCTTAGTAAGAGCAGTTTCCATTAGGAGAAATGAGGGTGAAAGCCGCATGGCATGGCAGTATGACTTGCAGGTGATGGGAAGTAGTAGATAACTCTTTCAAAAGAGTCCAGCTGCCAAGGAAAGGGATAGGAATGGACAGAAATTGGAGAGAAGAGAGGTCACTGGAAACTTTATTTTTGAGCATGCTTAAATGTTCACAGACAGGGTCTAGTGGCGAGCGAGAGGATATAAATACAGGAGAAAGAGGGAATAATAGTGTCAGGCATGGGAAGGCAGGAGGGGATATTCATTTGATCTTTGGAATAGCTAATACATTCCCATGATTCAAAATCTAAATGCCTAGAATTCTTTTTTTTTTTCCTTCACCCAAGGGTATGTTTTTATTAATACTGAGAGAGAGGAAGGGGGGGGGGGGAGAGGGAAGAAGGGAGGTAAGGAGGGGGAGGGAGAGGGGGAGAGAGAGAGAGAGAAACATTGATGTGGGAGAGAAACATCAATCAGTTGCCTCCCATACATACCCCACCCAGGGATGGATTCCACAACCTGAGTATGTGCCCTGACCAGCAATCAAACTCTTGACCTTTCGGTGTATGGGACAGCACTCCAACCAACTAAGCCATATTGGCATGCCTGGGATTCTTAATTAGTAATAGAGAGTTTCATGGTGAGTATGAAGTCATAGCTGAGGGAAGAAGAGCAATCAGGAGAGAGATGTGATTGGGAAAGATGTGGTTCACTACAAAACCATGTGAAGCATCCTTTCTCCATGCAGATTTCACTTCCCTGGTGGCAGGAATGCTTATGTCCCCCTAATGCAAGTCTCCCTGCCCAGACAGTAGCTGGATAAACCTACCACATTCCAACTTTGTGACGTTATTTTTGTTGCCTCTTCTAATTTCTCACAGGGTCATATATATGTATATGTGTGTATATTCAAATACATATATACATACATATACTTTTTAAAGCTTCATAAGCATTACAAGAAATAATTTTATGAAGCCTTTTAAATCCATGTAGAACATATTTTTATATGCCATGTTATACTCTGCGCTAAAATGATTTCTGTCTCCTTGTTTTACAAAGTAAACAAACCCATCAGCTTTTCTCTATTATTTGGTGGAAGATCACAGTGGAAAGGAGGCAGGATAAAGCAGCTCAGCTTTTATGGAGGTCTGGTGGGGAGGACAGGTAGGGCATGTATATAGAAGTTTTAAAAATTCTGGGTCAATCTCTCATTACAATGATCTTTTCCCCCCTCTATTTCCATTTCACTTATTCTCAGAGAAGCTGCATGGACTTTAATAGAAAATAAGGAAGTAATCAGCCTGCTAAGCTTTCCTATATTAATCCTCAAAAAACAAATGCTCCACTCGTTATCTTCCATTTGATGCAAAAAAACGCTTGCTAATAGAATGTCAATGGCCTTGTTAAGCACAGAAAATTGAACTCACCTGCAATTACAAGTTGACAAGAAGCTTTCAGAACCTTATTACTTGATAAGTCAAGAGGAAAATTAATTAGGTTCCCTAATAGAAAATACATTAGAAACAAAAGTAAATTACAAACAGAATCATCTTCTAATTTACACTCAAGGCTGCCAGATTAGAAAGATATAAATAAAACACAATCTCTCATAGCCTATACTGACCTATAAATTTGCCCTACTGATCAAACAGACTCTGAAAATATGGATACAAAGACTCCGGGAAGAATGACAACACTAAACATAATTACTGACTACTCTAGTCTTGAGACCAGAGCCACGAACATAAAATAGAAACATACCCAAATAGGATTAAGAATGCATTTAGCAAGTGTTGACCAGGCATATTTCTGTTCAGTGGTTCTCAGTCTCTAGAGGACATCAGAATCACCTGGACGCTTTCCACATCATACCATTCAAATATTCTGATTTGTTAGGCCTAAGCAAAGGCCCGGCATTTGTATTTTTGCTTATTAACTGCTATAGGTGATTCTGATTACAGAAAGACTAAAGACTAAGGACAATTCTTCCAATACAGTGGAAAACTCTATATGGAACAGTCCAAATCTCAAATGCCCTAATTCCTATTGAGTAGTTCCCAAATTGGTGTTCTACAAAACACTGGTCTTGTGAATGCTTGTTGAGGGAAAAAAAAATCCACGGCTAAGTGAATTCATTGCTCTGAAAAGTTCCGTTTCACTTGAACTATCAAGCATTTCTCCAACTAATTAATTGCCTTTATTATTTATTTATTACATTTTTAATATAACAGTTACTAACAATGTACAAACTTTTAGAAACCAGGCCTCAAGGATGTTCTGTGACTATTATCCTATTGGAAATGTACAGAACAGACATTAAATGCACTCCGTGAAGCATTTGAAGGCATTTCCAAAGGTAGAATAAAGAGACTTGCCTATAGTCAGTGGCAAGCTCTCTATACCCAGACCTGCCCTCAAGTTCCACACGCATAGGTAAAGGCCATCAACTGTCCTCCAAGGATAACATCGAATGGTGGTCATCATAGGGACCTTGACTTCTCCATATCCAGCTCCAAAAAGATATATACTATTAACTGAGAACTGAAGTATTTACCAGACAATACTAATAAACATTCCAACGGGCAAATTATCACATATGAAATATGTGTAACTTTTCTCAATAACAATCTCAATAACAAAACAAAGGCCTCTAAATGTCTTAGACTGATCTGATAATAATTTAACTTTTTTGAATGTATAATAATACCAGAAATGCCACTATAGAAGCCTGAATACAATCTCTGCCTGAGGCCTCCTCCACCTTCACCCCCATTTCACATTTGATTATACATAACATTAGAGTGCATATATTATATATATACATTATTTGTTTTGGGAACAGTCTATTTATAACTTTAGTAGTTTCTTGAGTGCAAGAATCAAGTTTCTTTTTTATAGCTTCTAGCATGCCTTTGTGTACTCACCAGGTCCCAGATAATTTGTTGACCACCATTTCTATAATTTTTTCCATGGATTTTTAGAGTGAGTGGAAGGGAGGGAGAGATGGGGAGAAGGAGAGGCACAGGGATTGTTTGCCTCTTGCACACGCCCCAACAGGGGCCAGGGATCAAACCTGCAGCCCAGGTACATGCCCTTGACTGGGAATTGAGCCCAAGACCCTTTGGTGCAAAGGCCAATGCTCTAACCACTGAGAACACCAGTCAGGGCAAGAATGTTGTATTCTACATCTCATTTCCTAGGAAGGAAGCTCATGCCCTTAGGGGCTAGGATCTGCAGCAGGGCACTCTTCATTGAACATTAAGTTATTTTCCACAGCCAATGACACCATCACTCAGGAATCTGTTTTTGACAGGTTAAATTACTTTTGAGGAGGAAAAAAAACCCTCTTACTACTATTTTAGCATTTACTAACACCAGGTAACTGTAACATTTTCCTTATGAGCTACAGGCTAGGCACAAAAGCTTGCCACAGTAGAGTTACTTAAACTAGAAAAAAATCATACCATGGGTCCCAAGAAAAATCACCAAAAGGAACCGGTTACATGTTTATTTTATATCGTTCTGGCAAAAAGGATTGTTTGCCACAGCACAGTGGGGAAAGGGCAGCCACACAGTCTAAATACATATGTAATAAGGTAGAGAAAACTGTATTCACCAGAAGTCTTTTCAGAAAGGGTACCATTTTGGGTGGGAGAAACTCCCTGAAAATTAACTTGGGGTAAAAGGAAAGTCCTTAAGGGATAAGGGTAAGAATAGAACTAGTCCATGGGAAAAGGGGAACATTTCGCTGGCTAATGGGGACATAGTGCTGGAAAAAGAAGAAAAAAAATTACTGAAAAGGATACATTTCAGATAGTGAAAGGCCTCACACTGCACACTGTGGCCTCTACCCTAAGAACTTCAATTTTCAGTAAAACTACTAGGGCCATATAAAGCTTTGGAACCTATCGGGGTTTTGTTTGTTTGTTTGTTTGTTTGTTTGTTTGTTTTGGTGTGGAAACCATTGAAGAGGCAGGATTTGACATCTACATTGCAAGGGGAAATTGAATTGGGAAAGTATTTAAAGAAAGTTTACTCAGACCTTTAACGGAAAGAGAGGGCACCATAGGATAATCAAGTTACAAAGAGCAAACAGGTAATCTACCCAAATACAAGGGGAAAAGATGAGAATAAAGTAAAAGCACTTCTAAGTACTTCACTAACATTCTCTCTTTTAATCTTTACAACTATCCTAGGAGGTAGGTGCTGTATTATCCTGGTTTTTCAGATGAATTCTCCACCATTCAAAGATTAATTAAACACCTTGCCTAAGGTACAGTCCTAGTACATGCCAGAATTAGGACTTAAGTTTAGGTCTTTCTGTCCCCAAAGTCAATGCTCTTAGCCACTGCCCTACCCTCTCACACTTCCTGCTTTAGTTTCAGAATGGCTATACTATAAAACTCTTGATTTTTCTTAAATATTGCTAATGGGAGTAGAAGAAAAAAGCTGCCCTGGTCAGATGGCTCAGCTGCTTGGAGCACTGTCCCATACACCAAAAGGCTGTGGATTTGATTCCCAGTCAGGGCACACACCTAGGTTGTGGGTTTGGTCTCCGGTAGAAGCGCATGTGGGAGGCAACCGATCGGTGTTTCTCTCTCATACCAATGTTTCTCTGTCTGTCTCTCTCCCTTACTCTCTCTTCAAAAATCAATAAACATATCAATAAACATATCCTTAAGTGAGGATTTAAAAAAAAATGCTATTCAACAAGACCAAGTCTTTGGAAGAAAAATACAAACGAGGTTACACGACATGCTAATGTATTTAAATAAAAATACATTATATTCTCTACCATAAACATTCAAAGAAGTTAGAAAGCTTTCTAAAACATAATATAGGTTTGGGGGCCTCATCCCCAGACATTCTGAATCATGATCTCCCAGGATGGAGCCTGGGGGTCTGCATTTTTTTTTAAATCCTCACTCGAGGATATTTTTCCATTGATTATTTTTAATGTTTTTTCTTTATTAATTTTAAAGAGAGGAAAGGAGAGAGAAGGAGACAGAAATGTCAATGGTCGCCTCCCACATGGCCCATACTAGGGAGTGGGCCCACAACCTGGGCATGTGCCCTGACCAGGAATCAAACCAGCGACCTCTTATTACATGGGTCAATGCTCAACCAGTAAGCCACACCAGTCAGGCTCCACTGATTTTTTTTTTTTTTATTCTAT